ATCATTATTATTTTAAGTTTTCTATTATTTCCATGATTAAATTGTTCTTCTTTCCCCCTCTGAGTCTCCTTTCCCTTGTCCCCCAATTCTCTCCCCTGTCCCCTGGGTGGAGGGAATGAGTGAGTGGCTGGGTTTTGCTGCCAGCCCAGTGCTCACCCAGTGCAACCACCATAACCCTTCATCTCCTGACTGATGGTCCCTGTCTGATGATGGGTCTCGACAAGCACAAGCCGACACCAAAAGGGCTGGTGTTACCCCCACGCGCCGCCCCACGGTCCCACTTACAAGATCCGCTACCGGCGATTTCTTCCTGTTCTGCTTTTCCACCTCGACCTGCATTTTGGCCATGGGCTTCGCCATAGCCAAGGCCATTTTGGCTTCAGCTTGAAGTTTCTTTTGCCTGGTGAGGAAATCCATGTCGTCGAGGGACTCTGACTCTTCCTCCGTCGTGTCTCTGTCGGAGTAGGACGAGCTCTGCTTGCTCTAGGGAAGCACACACGCCGCCGTTACAGCCCCGTCACCCCAAATGTCCCACAGCAGAGAAGTTTGCTGGCAGCTTAACATATTTCTGTGCACTTACAAGTGGGATCATTTCTACAGAAATGGTGAAGAGCACAGAATTTTTCTTCATTTTAATCCACAAGATGATCTTTAAAAATCAAGAGTAATTCCCAGATAGGCTCCCTTGACTATTAATAGCAACTTGAGCACTTCACATGGGAAGAGGAGCCAACCAGGTCAATAGGTGTTGAAGGGACAGACTGGTTAAACTGGAGGAAAACATCTGGGGCCTCTGTGTTATATTCAAAAAGGAAAAGAGAGGAGAGGAAACTGGTGGGAGCTGATAGTGCTTTGTATCCACTAAAGCCCTGATCGTTATCAGAGCCCAAAAGAAAGGGAGGAAGGAAGGAAGGAAGAAGGAACACCTTCACATGAAAGCAGCTGCTCCACAGAGCTCTGGGCCAGCCAGGGGCAATCAGTGATCAACTGCCCCACAGCATTTCTTTTATTCATAGAATCATTGAATGTTGTGAGCTGGGACCCACAAGGACCATGGAGTCCAACTCCTGTCCCTGCACAGGACAAGCCCAACATTCACACCATGTCCCTGAGGGCCTTGGCCAACCGCTGCTGCAATCTTCTCAGGCTTGGTGCCATGAGCACCTCCCTGGGGAGCCTGTTCCAGGGCTCCACCACCCTCTGCCTCAAGAACCTTTTCCTCATGGCCAACATCACTGATGGCTGAAGATGCTGCTCTGGGGTTTAGTGTTACTATTTTAACAGGCTCAGCTCTTTATCAGCTCCCATTATGAGTGGCCTCATGGTTTCCATGCTCCAGATCACTGCGGGATGGGTTCCCAGACCTACCATGGGTGACAACGGTGTGTCCAGGCTGGTTTCTGTCTTGCTGTCATCGGCGTCGCTGTCCTTGTCGCTGCCGCTGTCGTTCACAAAGCAAATCTGCAGGTTCATCCCACTTTGTAATCTGTGGGGAAAGGGAGAGGTGATGGGTTGGGTGGGCAAGATGCTGGAACACCATCAGTCATTCATGTTTTGAAAGGCTGCTCTTGTCCTCATGTTGCATTGCCCTCAAGAAAATAATAATAATTTTCATTTTTTGCCCCAAGAAGATGGTCATCCCCCACCCAAAAGCCAAGGCAGGACCACCAGCCCATGGCCAAGCTCCTGCTGCTGTGACAGTCCAAGGTGGGACTGGAAACTCAATGACAATGCTTCTACCACCATCTACTGATGAACTGCAGAATTACTGAGATGCTGCAGAGCGTCCATCATCACAGGTGGCTACAGTGCTACATCAAATATAACAT